ACCATCAATAAGTAAATGAGAAGTGTAAACACAAGAAAGAGAACTATTTAGAGTGATGCATAGCACAGATAAGTGTAAAGTGAATGTAGTTAAGGAAAGGAAAACATAAAATATCAGGGAAATTTCCCTGACAGGAAGCACTGGTAGGTGGAGAAACAGATATCCAAAGGAAGTAAAGAACCCCCATTGCTTTTAAAATCAGACACACAGTATCAAGTGCAAAATTGCACAAGCAGCGAAATGGACTAGATGCTTCTGAGGATGCCCAGAACTGTGAGCCATTGTTACCTCTTTCTGCCTAGCAAGATTTTTACTACTGATTAGCAGGGCTCAACAAACCCATGTATCTACTCGCCTGTGGCAAGTTGATATCAGCCGGTTGCCCCGTTCACTGGCGGCACGTGCATGCACAGTGTGGGTCTGGCGCATGCGCGGTGCGGGGCTGGCAAGTGGATTTTGCCGCAGTTTGTCGAGCCCTGCTGATTAGAATGTGTCAGTTCTGACACACAAGTCTGTGTTACTCACCAGCAAACTCCTGGAGGCCATCCTGGCCCAGGCTTCTGCTAGCAAGTAACAGTCAGTTAACTCTGTTCCCCGAGCTTCTTACAGCTATTTCTCTCCAATACAGTGTCATGGCCACTGTGCATCCTCAAAAGACAAAGTTTGTTGCTTTGTTAAAGAGTCAATACTCTACAGTTCACAAATTTTAACTTCAAACACAGCATTGAACAGGTCTATAGTAAAACTAACACAAGTCTATTAACAAAAGACCATGGATTAAATGATTCCAAGCAGGGCCATCCCTATAATGGCCCACTGCCCAGGACCCAGGGCAATTCCCTGCCCAAGCATAGGGATCAAGGCAACTTCCTCTTGCCCCAGGCCCTGACCTACCCCTTCCTTCTCTGTTCTACCCCACCCTCACTCCACCCCTTACTAATAACCAGAGTTCTACTAGCTTTCATATGATACCTCAAAAGGCATAATTCATACAAATATTATGTCAGGAGCATGTAGGCTGCCAATACATTTTAGTATAATGAAACAATAATACTTATCTATCTTTAATGTTTATGATTATACAATAATATATGTGGATTTGATCATCTTGCAGCACTCAGGGGAGGAGAATTGAAAAAAAAAGTGCAAGGAGAGATTCTCTTCTCTGCCTTCATCTCTTAGCTCAAAACTTCACCTAATACTCAGAACCCCACCTTTTTCATACTGAACCTCCCTCGGGTCAGAACTTTTGGTGCCAAAACCTATCCTTCTCCCCCCTGGAATTTAGTAAATGCCTCCCAAATGTGCGCTCCTCATTAACCCCCTTTTTGTTCCACCCAACACCCCCAGCTCAGCCTATTCATCCAAGCTACCCCAGCCCCCAATGATAGACCAAAGGAGCAAAGACATCAGGAAACTGATTTTACCTCCAAGGCACATGCACAAGGGTCCCCAAATTCAGCCATTGTGGGAGTAACTTGTTGCCCATGTTCTGCAGGGGCTCTCGGGTTTCCAACATATTGAGAGTCCCTCTGTCACAGGCAGATGTACTGGAGTCTCCAAGGATTGAAGCAGCGCCAGACCTCCCTGGAGTTACCCAGTGGCAATAGCAACAAGGAGTCCTATGGCATCTCATAGACTAACAGATTTATTGGAGCATAAGCTTTCGTGGGCAAAGACCCACTTCATCAATTATGCTCCAATAAATCTGTTAGTTTATAAGGTGCCACGGGACTCCTTGTCACTTTTGCAGATTCAGTCTAACAGGGCTACCCCTCTGATATTTGACACCACTGGCAATAAGTGTTACTTAATGCTGCCCTACAGTAAGCCATATTGTGGATACTACTTTGTGACTGACAGATGTATTGTTATTGAGGGGTCTTAGGCCCCCCAACATCTAAGAATATATATACATTGTATCTTTAGAACTATAGTTTCTTCTTGCAGATTGACATATTTGAGTATGTAAAGATGATTACTCAGTCATTACTCAGGCAATTGGTACCAGTTGATGAGGTTTTGCCATGTTAAGTAATGTCCAGTGTGTATTTCATAAGGTGCATATGTTTGATTCCTTTGCAATAAATATTGTTCACTACAGACTATTATTAGCATGCCCATTACCATTTTAACTTACTGCTATTTTGCACTCCAGCTAAATGTAGTAAACCAGAAAGATTTTCAGTAACATACGGGTCAAAACAATGAATTGACATACTTTTTATGAGGCACAAATTGCAGTTTTCTAGACATATAGATAAGGCCATCCCTATGGAGGTGGGGACCCAAGAAAACAACTTCTTCCACCTCAGGCCCAACCTGCTGCTCATCTTTTCCTGTCTCTCCCACTCCATTGCAACCTTTCCCCAAGCCTCCTTCCTCCCCCTCAATAATGCCACTCCAGGGGATTACCAGAGGATGCCTGGTGACAGCAGCAGGGGTTCCCCTCCCGCATTTACCACAGCAACAGGAAGCAGAACTGAAAGAGGGCAGAGCAGAGCAGGCTGCTGGGTAGCTCTACTTCCTGCAGCTGGTGAGTGTGGAGGCGAGTCTGACTCCTGCTACTGAACTCAGGCTCTCCCTATAAACCCCCAGGCTACCCTGGACCTCACAGGACCCCCCAAACTGCAGGGCCAAGGGTGGCTTCCCCAAACTGACGTAGGAACAGGACAGCTCTGCATATAGAGAAGCCAGGGGCAGCCTCTCAATTATAATGAAAGTTAGCATGAAATCATGTAACACTTTTTTCCAAGTGTGCACTTCAAAATTAGAGTACGGATTTGGGCTTGTTTCATTATTGTCCAAGGCTGAGTAATTTTCACCATACTTACTGGCGTACAGTTACAGTTGATTGAATTAGTTTTAAGAATGTTGTTTTGCTTTTCTACCTATAGCAAGATAAACTTTTTTCCTAATAAATACAATCACTTATATACAGTCCCAAACATCAAATTGGTCAAATTACTTCTTCGTTGTAATGCAGTGTCATGTATAACATGAAAGGACTTTGTTCAGTTTTATCTGCTCAACAGCTTGTTTAAACTATTCAAGGTCGTTATTTACTGCTCACACTTTGAATAAAAGTTGATGTCAGGACAGTTCATTTTTAGCTGTTCAAAGCCACAAGCTGATTATATAAGAGATTGCAAAGTGCTATTTCTTAGAAAGCTAACAGACTTGCAAGATTCTCAAAAATGAAAGAGTATGTATTCATCAGAGCAGAAAAACTGACTTGATATTTCATACATATCAAGGTAACTTCTTTAGAAGCAATCTTTGCACTAACGCTGTATGAGCAGGTTTTCTTAACTAATGGGAAAGACACCACTCAGTAAATTTAAGAAAGCCTTAGGTAAAAAAAAAAATAACTTTTTAAGTGAGAACATGCACAAGTGGATGAATTTAAAATTTCCACCCCCTCAACACTTATTTTTGTCTTTTGTATTTTTAATGCACCACAGTATTTAAATACCAGACATTTACAACTGTGTCCCAAGAGTAAAATGCTTAACAGATGTAGCAGCCTGTAGATGTAACCATAGCTATTCTATTTATAAAGAAGTTACTCCATATTATGGGAAATGAATAAAACCATCAATAGGGAAGAGTAGCACAGAAATAAAAATATTTAACTTGAGTGCTAATGTACACTAGAGTAATTCCTTGCAACATAAAATATGTAGTCTATTTCTTTCCCTGCCAGTCATGCCAGGGATGGGAGTTAGTCTATTTGCATTGCTACTATATTCCCTGAAGCTTATGACAATGATGGTAAGGCATAGCAATGAATACACAGAACATGTTCCGCCATAGGAATAGTGAAGCCACAGAGAATTAGAACTTCCATTACCAAGAACAATGGAATCAACAGCAGATGATGCAATAAAATCCTCAAATACAAGAGCACGTGAACTATTCTACTTAGAAATGCCCATCTAATCAAACACTAGTCACTTGCAAAGCAATTAATAGAAGAACTATGCAGATACCTGTGCATTTATTTTCCTGTTACATTTCAGCCTTGTTCTCTCCTTCACATTCTGCCACAGGATTCATTGGCCTACTTAAATGCTATTAGTGTGGCTTGTGTGTCATTTTCCTGTACTCATCTAATATTATCCAGAAACTTCACAGCTGTCTTTTGCAAACATGTAGTAGGAATATCCCCCTAGATATTCACTGTATATTAGAAGCTCCCTGCTGAATGTCAGACAATAGTGTGCATCTGAGTAATGCTTTTACATCACGTAATAGTGTAACAAATTAACATGCACATTTTCCTAGATTGCCTCAAAACAAAATCAAGGTCTGTGAGCTATTGGGTTTAGGATCCTCAGCTTCTAATGTTCCAAACATCTGGCAGACAGCCAAGTCAAATGACAGCTTGAAGCAGATGCAAGCTATTATCTAAAATATGTATGCAACAATAGTTGTGTCTGCAATCTTTTAGGTTTATTTACTTGGTAGTCTAAAAGTGTGAAATGCACCTGAAATCTGAAGGGCATGTAGGCTTTCATTATATTTTGTTTCTGTAAAACTCAGGCATGGCTACTGCCAGCTAGTAACTTTTTTGATGGATTCCAGTTATTACTGGCATTTTAAATTGTAACTAAATCTTTTGTATTTTAAAAACCCAGAGGTATGAAACTTAAATTATCTTGGAACACGTGTGGTATGCCTCTAATGGACTACAAAGGCTGCCTACTACAATAACTCAGCTCATTAAGCATGCAGCTCCTCGCATTGCAAGCTGTTGAAATCAGCAGCTGTTGCAAAGGAGTGAAAGGTCAAATTATCAGTGACTAGAAAGCATGGCTATATCCCTCAGAAATAAAAATAAGTATTTTCAAGTAAGGGCACATTACCATGGTCTAGTTGATTATAGCACTTCATAGGAGCACAGGGATATGAAAGAAAACGCAAGTTCTGAACTTTAAAAAGGACAATGAGGTTTTCCCCACACAGTAAGCAAAACACAAGAGTTATTTATATTAAAAAGTTTATTATAAACATTAGAGCTTTCATAGCAGCATAAAGAGTATTATTGCATTAGTAAACCAATGTTTTCTAAACAGCCCAAAGGCCTTTGATAAATTGTGTCTGCATAAGAGTCTTTGCAGAAAAGTCTTTGTATATTGTCACAGTAACAAATCTCTAACAGACCATCAAAGTGTTTTCCTCTTAAAGTTTTGTAGTGCCAACAGTTCCTAGTTACAATATTTTGTCCAGTCTTTCCAAGTTATTTTTGTCCAATTTCCCAACCTTCTGTCCAGCTTTCTTAAACTTCCACTTGACCTGAAAACTTGCAATATTTCTTCAGCTCCTGGAAACTTGCAATACTCATTCAGCTCCTTGGCACGCCAGCCATTCCACTACTGCAAGGTAGTAGGGACTCACTCCTGGCATGAGACATCCCCTTCCTCCCTCACATCTTCCTTCTCCACAAGAGCCCACTGCTTGCCAGTCTGAGCGACTTAATCCGATCTCTTGACCAGGCTAATCCACAGAATCAGCAATGTGTTGGTTCACCCAGGCGTGCAACACCATGACGAGAATGCAACAAAGGTTTCAACCTCTCCAGTGCAATGAATCTTCATCACTCAGGCAGGGTGATAGTGGGCACCCAATCATTGACATGCCGGCTTTCCTCACAAAACAAGTTGAGCTTTTCCAGCGCAGGGTCTTTCCAAGCATCCTCATCTGGATTCTGTGATAAACAAGGACAAAAAAAACCCAAAACACTTCATGAGTTGGTATTACCAAGCTAGAATGCCAAGAGATAGGTACTTTGGGGAAAGGTTTGGTGAAGGGGCTAGCACAGAAAGCAGGACTAGTCTCTTTAAATGAGCAGGTATCTCTTGCCTAGAAACAAGGCACCGTTGGCACTGGGGTGGCAGGGAAACGTGTGGTCTTAGCTGAAGATCAGCAATCAGTCCCTGTACCAGCCATGCTCTGAGACTCCAGGGGGCATGGCATTTGGACATCTTAAGTCCCTGTGGCAGCAGGGGCAGCTGCAGCGGGGCAGGTCCGGGCTGCCCGCAGGCCTGGCAGAGGGCACTCACCGTGATGAGGATGCAGTGCAGGTCACGGGGCTCGCCCGACTCCTCGCTGGCCCCCACAATGTCGGCCAGCTTTGGGATGTCATGCAGGCGCACAATGTCGATGTCGTTGTCGCAGCAGAAGGCCTGGATGAGGGTGAAGTGGATCTGCAGGGCAATGTCCCCCTCGTCCTCCTCGGCCGCTGCCAGCACACAGAACGCCACCTTGTCGGGATCACTGTGGGGACAGAGCAGCTGGCAGCCCGGGGACAGAGAGTGGTACAGCCCCAGCCGGGCCGCCCCTAGCACCCTCCCTCATCCCCCCACCCACCCAGCCAGCCAGCCACACACAGCTCGGATACTCACACGTTCATCAGCTTGGCGGACTCGTACACCCCGGCGGTGAGGCCACCGCGCCGCTGCGCCGACACCAGCAGCTCGTGGAGGGCTTTGCCCGCGCCCTGCATCGTGCAAAACACAACGGGGAGGCGGCTCAGTCCCGGGTCCAGCGCGAGACCCCCAGGTCAGCCTCCCCTCCGGGCTACCCCCTGCACGCGCCCGCGCCCCGGCCGGCATCTCCGAGCCCCGCCACCACCCTCTCCACCGGGGCTCAGTCCCGGGCCCCGCCGCACGCTCCGGCGGCCACGCACCTGTCGCTGCTCTCGGCCACTGGCTCCTGTCCGTGAATCTCCTCCAGAGTCATGTCGCGTCTCCCCCGCTTTATCCGTATCCACGCGGGGCGGCTCGGCGCTAAGATCCCCCCGATCCGCTTCCCTCCAACTTGCTCTGCTCTTGTCCCCAGCGAGAATGGAGCGAGCTGGCGGCGGCGGCCGTATTTATAAGCAGCCTGGCTGCGGGGCCGGCAGCTGGCGGAGTCTCTGCAGCCCTCATTGGCCAGCCTAAGGGAGTATTATTATGATAATCAGGAGGTAGGCTGGGCCGGCTCGTGCCAGGAGGCCACGTGGAGGGGTAGTGGAGAGGGGTAAGGGGGGGCGGGGGATTACATTGCCTTCAGTCTGCTGCTGCTTTTGTTATATTTTGTTGCCAGGCAGACTGCAGATTTAATTGTAAAAAAAAAAAAAAAGTAATAAAAGGAGAATACATTACGTTGAGTTGTCTGGTGTCATTGCATCCTTAATAAAAACGATGCAAAATGCACTAAAATATTACAGACACTAATGCAACTCTTACCGGTTCATTTAGAGAACACTAAAAAATAACTAAGGCAGATATCGCAAAAAGAAGTAAACGGTGAAGAGAGTGTTTTGCATTACAAATACACCCTACATTTACACGTGGGTCATTGTATATCTCGCTCCCTAAGTTTGCATCTTTTGTGTTGCATGTTTTGTGTTCCTATCCCAGCTAACTAGTTATCTTTGCTTTGCAAACTTACTAGCTCCGTAGATGGCTGCAGAAATGTTCTTGCAAACTTTACCAAAATGAGGGCACAAGCCCTGCATAAATAATGAGTCGTTGTGTGGAGCAGATTGTGGATGGCACACGCTGCTACTTTGCATTTCAATAGAAAGCGCACAATAGTGGAGGTCTGGCGTGTGGCAGTTTGGAGTTCAAACAATTGATTCTTTTTCTTCATAGCAACACTGTCCACCTGCCACTGGGGTGGGGATTTGCTGCTGGGGTGGAGGGCAAGAGAGGACAATTGCATTACTCTCCTATCGTCCAATCTGCCTCTGCAGATGAATGTCTCCATTTGCACACGCTTCTGGAGTGCAATTGAATGCCAGGCATTTTGAGCACGCGATCATTAAATAGTTAAATACTTTATTATAGTTCTTTGTTTTAATCTTTCATACACAATACATTTCAGAAAATTACACATGCACAGTTTGCAAGTAAGCATCCAGTATTTCAATACAAACTTGGAAAAGGTAATGCAGAGCCTGCTTTTGTAATTAATTAAAAACAACCCATTAGATATGTATCTATTTCCTCAAATGTAACTGTTCAATAGTTTTAATAGAAACTAAAAAGTTGACACAGTTTGTAGATTATGAACTCACTGTATATTCCACGCACTCACTCGCCCTGAAAACTATCAAGAGTTTCATTTTACTAAGTATCCAAATCAGTGTACTTCATGCACTTGAACCCATTTCTCCAGAAATCCCTGTTGCTTTCTTTCACTCTAAAAAGTCATCTTGATTAGTAGCGCTATCTACTGGATGTTGAAGCAGCTGCTGCTAAAATGTATCCTCTACTGTCGCCTTGCCCTAGATACAAGTTACTGTGCAGACACTAAAAGGATTTGCTGTGGGAGGGAAGAACCAATACAGGCAAACCAAAAAGGGGACAACACATATTATAAGCCATGATCCATATGCAAATTATCCAAAAGCCTGATGTATAATTCCCTGTACTTGTTCTAGAGTACAGAAACTGATGCCTCTGTACACTTACAATAAGGTTTGCATTTTCTAGCAGAATGGTAATCAGGAATAAAATAGAATTGCACCACCTTGTGGGCTTAATGATTTAGACACTACCTAACAAATAAATGATATAAAATTGTCTTTAGAATGAAGAAAAACCCTGAGATAAAGTATTAAATGCACAATATACAGTATTTATAAAATAAGTGTATGCTAACTGTGCCACTAGACTACATTGACTACAAATGACATAATGCTGATTTAGATTTTTCAAAAGACATTCTAGAAAAACTTCCATCTAAATCAGAATGTAACCCCCATAACATTTCTCTATCTATATTACTGTGCATACACAATATCGCTAATATTACCATAGCCTTAGAATACTCTGTTTAGAGTATTTTTGCCATTTTGCTTTTGGCACCTCTCACAGGCTACGTCTACACTGGCCCCTATTACGGAATAGGCACGCTAATGTAGCACTTTGGAAAAGGCAAATGCGCGGGGGATTTAAATATCCCCTGCGGCATTTGCATTTTCATGGCAGCCTTGGGGGGCGAGGGGGGTTAAATAGAAAACTTCAGTTTTCAGTTAATTAAATCCTGCTCCTTTCACTCTAAATTCATTTAAAAGGGCACTATATCCACAAATTTGATCCCAAATTAGATTTTCTAAAATCAAGTTTCTATAAACGTTGGCCCAACTGGAACATTTCTGCTTATTTGAAAAACAACTTTTAAAAACAAACTAGATATTCCCTGTCAGGGCTTGCAAACTATTGTAGCCCAGAGAACTTGACAAGGAAATGGACATAATTGGTTTTTACTAAGTGAGGGTATGTCTACACTAGCTCCCAAGTTCGAACTAGGGTGGCAAATGTAGGCATTCGAACTTACAAATGAAGCCCGGGATTTAAATATCCCGGGCTTCATTTGCATGTTCCCGGGTGAGCGCCATTTTTAAATCCCCTTAGTTCGAACTGACTGCCCGCGGCTACACGTGGCAGTCAGAAGTTAATCCAAACTAAGTCCTTAGTTTGGATTAACTGTTACACCTCATTGCAGGAGGAGTAACAGTTAATCCGAACTAAGGATTTAGTTCGGATTAACTTCTGACTGCTGTGTGTAGCCGCAGGCAGTCCGTTCGAACTAAGGGGATTTAAAAATGGCGCTCACCCGGGAACATGCAAATGAAGCCCGGGATATTTAAATCCCGGGCTTCACTTGTAAGTTCGAATGCCTACATTTGCCACCCTAGTTCGAACTTGGGAGCTAGTGTAGGCATACCCTCACTTAGTAAAAACCAATTATGTCCATTTCCTTGTCAAGTTCTCTGGGCTACAATAGTTTGCAAGCCCTGACAGGGAATATCTAGTTTGTTTTTAAAAGTTGTTTTTCAAATAAGCAGAAATGTTCCAGTTGGGCCAACGTTTATAGAAACTTGATTTTAGAAAATCTAATTTGGGATCAAATTTGTGGATATAGTGCCCTTTTAAATGAATTTAGAGTGAAAGGAGCAGGATTTAATTAACTGAAAACTGAAGTTTTCTATTTAACCCCCCTCACCCCCCAAGAAGAGCTAGCAGTAATACAGGATTCCCCACAACAATGGCATCAGTGCCAGATGAACCAAGATGAGGGTATTTTCAGTTTCTATATCTATTCAATTAACTGGTATCAATGCTGAGGCTAACAGGAAGTGTTTGTTACATGGAGAGCTGTCCCATAAAAAGTCTGGGGGCGAGGGGAGCTGAGGGCTGAGACCAGTACCAGCTTGTTTCACACAGGCCACTAGAAAGTCATCATGAAGTAATGATATATGATTGCTACTAACTTAGGCAGGATTTTCTCCAGCAACCTATAGACAAAGGAGTCTGTAGCCTCTTACCAAATCTCCTGGGGGCATATAGTCCATCTTTAAATATAATTTGAGTCCAGAACACTGCAAGTGTCCTTTTCAATACTTCACTGCTTCATTTAGGAATCTTAGATCAAGAAGCATCTGGACTAGAAACTCCTGCCTCTGTTGTGGCAATGTATGCTAAATGTATTATTTTATCCAAAGAAAAGTTTCAGCCTTTTAAAATACTGTACTGTAATTTCTGTTCAGTTTGGACAGACTTCCAATGTAACACTTTGTATTATTTCTTTTTATGTTTATTTTTAGTTACTTCATGAACACTAATATTGCTATATCAATGACAAAATCAGAATTAAAGTCTAATGGCTGCAATATATTCAGGTTTTGTAAGCAAAAAATAAGCTGTTTAATTTCAGGTCCCAAAAATAATTTCCTATGGAATCTCCATTTAATTTGGGTGTCCAGGAGAATATACTAGATAAACCAACTCTTTCCTGATAGCATTTCTCAGATTACATCTAGTGTGGAATACAGTTCACTAAAGAGACTGCCTGGAATATTGCTTTGTCTGTATTCTCAAATATTAAATTTAGCCACATTTACTGTAGTAGAATGCTGGCTTTTAGGCACATGCACAATGCCTACAATATAATTCTGCCTCTGCAATGGACTTGCTTGAGAACATCATAACCTCTTAATTTATTTAATTGTAAAAGGAACATAATCATATCTGGTTCACAGAGGGTTTGAGAGAATAAATGGGCCATATTCAGTCCTAATGTAAACAGAGAATTCCAGGTAAGTCAGTACAGTAGTGCCAATTTACACCAGGATCAAATTTTCCCAAGTGTATTCACTCCTTTCCAAATGTCAAATGCTATACATGTGCTAAGTATTGAAAATTATTTGTCTAGCCTATTATAAGAATACATAATCATAGAGAGAAATGCATGTACTGTTTAGAAGAATAATCTGTGATATGAATGACAGCTGCAAGTCTCACATTGAATTAATGTGAATGGGGCAATAAACAATGCTCACAAATACTTCTCATATGTATACTCTGGGATTCACTACCACTAGGCTTCAGTGTCCATGGATAGTGAAATAAAATGACAGTCCTGACCTGATTCAATGCCTTGCAATTTGCTGATTATAGTTAGGATGATAATGAATTTCCATCTGACCATTTGTGTATGGCTTGGTAAGAAAATTACTTAAGAAGGGTGCAAAATATGTGCACCTAGTTATATAGACAGTTATTGAAATTACACATGCAAATACTGTATCATCTAAGTATCCCTTGACATAGAAATTTCCAACTCTGTAGATTTTAAGACTGTCATTGAATATGATAAAATGTCAAAACATATTTTGACCGCCAGGCACTTCAGAGTTAGGGATTCTTACCCTTACGGCTTCTAGGTTCATTCCATTGTTCACAGGGATTGTAGCACATATGGTTCATAAAAACAAACACATCGCTTCTGTTGCCTGTGTGAGGGAGGAAACTGTGAAAGCCAAGATCTCTAATTTTTGCATT